CCGGGGTGCTCCACTATGGGTACTGGGCTTGCCCCGGCACTGCAGCCGAAGCTTGTGAGAAGCAGTGTTCGGCCGGACCACGCATGTGCCACGGGGCTCGTGGCTTTCATGCTCTTTTCTCTGGCACGCGGTCTGGCCTCCCGCCAGTTCCTCTAGACTGCCTCAGGCTGCAGATGCTTGGAACCGCGCTCCTCAACACACTTGGTGAACTAGACTTCCTCTAGTTGCCCCTTGTATATATTTCTACCCTTCATTTCCCTCTTATTCTCCTCCTTATTTCTTTAAAAATAAATAAATAAATAAACAAACAAACACATAAATAAATAAATAAAAGGAAGAAGAGAGACTTATAACACTGCTCTTACCTTCTGCTGCTCAGCTGTTCTCCCGTTCCGCTGCTTGTACATAGTTGCGTCCCTTAAAAAAAAAGAGAGAAGAAAACAGAGAAATTAACAGAATAATAACACAAATACATATATAAGAACAAACAGCAACCAGAGAGTTAAATGTTCTCTCTTGACTGCACACAAGAACTGCTTCAGAGCAACCGGTAACATGTCGGTAGCTACCGGTTTAAAAAAATGCGGCTTTTGCCAGGAGGCAATGCCGGCCTCCGATGGCCACTCGGAGTGCATCCGTTGTCTGGGGGAATCTCACATCCTCCAGAAATGTGCCCACTGCAGCAAACTCACTTCCAGGGCTAGAAAGGACAGGGAGAGGTGCCTCTGAATGCTCCTCTTTGATAAAGCCCTGCAGCCACAATACACTGATGGTGACGAATAGCCCCCCAAGTGACAGGCTTCATCCCCCACTTCGGGTGTTCAGAAAAAGCCTAGACTCTCCCCTACCAGATCCCTGCCGACTGCCTTACATGGCAGGGAAAGTCAGGTGGAGAGACCGGGGACATCTGGCAGCACAAAGCCTCGTCCTCCTACCTCAATGGCGCACAAGTCAAAGCGGCCATGGGAGCCTGCACAAACAGTGGCACCCCAGGAAGCGCCACCATCGGCGAGGGCTCCCTTAGAGCCAAATATTATGGCGCCGGCACCCGCACCGCTCTTGAGCCACCGAGCAGTGCTGGAGCGCATGGCGCCAACCCGACCTACCACCAGCATAGCACTGATCGCTGCGGTCTCTGAACCGCCGGCACCGAGCAGCACAGTGCCGGCTAGTGCTTTAGCACACGCTTCAAGACCAAGGGCTCTGAGCCCTGCTCCTCTGGTCTCTCTGCACCAGAGCTGCTCTCGCTCCCTTCTCTTCTCCCCAGCACCGTCCCCCTATCCTCTGGTGCCACGCTCTCCACATCGCTACGCCGACTGGCATAGGTCTCCCCATGCCTCTTCCAGACTGCCATCCCCATTCTTGGCTGCTGGACCCTCTCACCAGAGACGTCACTTCAGGGAGTTCTCTGCGTCTACTGCTTCTTCCAGGGCATCAGCTATCCGCTTTGTTCGCCTTACTCTCCACACCATTATCGATATCACTCTCGTTCTCATTATCATGACAGATGCTCACTGCAACACGGTACATATCACCGCGGTGACTGCTACTCGCAGCAGGTATTCCTACCGATCACGATCTGCCTACGACTATGTCTCACCCAGGCACTCTCTAATTCAGGCTCCCCTCACTCCTCCGCAACATTCAGCATCACCATCTCATCCCCCATCAGAATTGGAGCACACCCCCTTCATGGGCCAGCCAGCGGGGACCTCTATACCAGACTCGTCCCCACCAGACGAGGCAGTCATGCTAGGTGAGGGCTCTCCACCGGATGACTCCGTCAGTTTCAGGAGTTGTTTAAACGAGTAGCCATCATGCAGGAGATATCGTTGCAGGAACTCAAGGACAAGCAACACAAGCTTTTCAGAAACCTCCAGCCACATCACAGGTCGCGCCTGGCCATTCCCCTCGATGAGGGCATCCTGGAAATTGCCAATGAAATATGGCATGCTCCGGCATCGGCTCTTCCAACTAACAAACAGGCCGACAGGAAATATTTTGTGCCCCCAAAGGGCATGGAATTCCTTGCACATCTGCAACCTAATTCTTTAGTCGTCAATGCAGCCCAGCAGAGGGCTAGAACCCCACACCTCAAACAATAGGGCTCCTACAAGGACATAAAGAGGCTAAACCTTCTAGGCAAGAAGGTCTACACATCAGCAATGCTACTCTTTAGAATTGCCAATTACTTGGTGCACCTATCTAACCATACCTTTGACACTTATTCAAGCCTCACCCCCCGCATGGATCACCTTCCGGATTCAAAGAAATCTATCCTGAAATCAGTAATCCAAGAGGGCTACACATCAGCAATTACGTCCCTTAAAATGGCCATGGATGTTGCTGACACTGCCACACACTCTACTGCCACCGCCATTGTTATGCGGAGAGCCTCTTACCTTCAAGTGGTGGGAGTTCCAAAGGAGTTGCAGGCCCTTCAACAAAGATAAACTTTTTGCAGAGAACACGGACACAATCTTACACTCCTCTAAGGACTCCCGAACAACCCTGCGAACACTGGGGATGTACACACCCCCCTTCAGGAGGCGCCGGTATTCCCCATACCAATGCAGATATGACTACTCCTACATTAGACACCAATGGCAGCAGCAACATCAGCAGCAGAAGTCCTTTGACAACCAAGGCTTGTGCCAGACCTAGAGGCCCCAGTGATGCTGAAACCCAAACGCCAGGACAAACATGCCTCCCAACAACAAGCAACAGGTTTGATGCCTTGGTCGAGGTGAGCAAACAGTCACAGGCAGCACCGTGAATCATCCAACCCAACTCTTTCACCACCAGTTGAGGTCCTTTTTCCACCAATGGGCCAGAATCACCATGGACAGATGGGTCCTCAAAATTGTCCAAACTGACTACCCTATTTCCTTCACATGCATTCCACCCACCACCCTTCCCACCCCGTCCCTTTTCAGGGACCCCTCTCACGAAGCCCTCCTCCGAGCAGAAGTCGACTGCTTTCTTTCTCTGGGTGCCATAGAGTCAGTCCCAAACAAGTTCAGGAACGGGGGCTTCTACTCACATTACTTTCTCACCCAGAAAAGGTCTGGAGGGTGGCGTCCCATCCTAGACCTCTGCCATTTGAACAAATACCTCAGAAAACAACGATTCAAAATGACCACCTTAGCTGCCATAATCCCCACATTAGATCCACAAGACTGGTTTGCCACCCTCGACCTCCAGGATGCCTATTTCCACATCTCTATCCATCCAGCCCACAGGAGGTTCTTACGCTTTGCCGTGGGTCCTTCCAATACAAGGGTCTTCCCTTTGGGCTATCGTCAGCCCCCAGGGTATTTTCAAAGGTCCTATCGGTAGTCACAGCCTTCCTCCAACGACAAGGAGTTCTCATCTTCCCATACCTGGACGATTGCCTACTCAAGGGTCCTTCTGCACTCGAGGTTTCTCAGATGGTTCAGCTCACCAGGCAAGTCTTTTAATCGATCGGACTCCTCCTCAACGAGCAAAAGTCAGTTTTGCACCCCACATGGAACATCGAGTTCATAGGGGCCCACCTGGACTCACTCGCCAGCAGAGCCTTCCTGCCCCTACAAAGGTTTCAGGCCATCCAGGACCTCATTCATACCATTACCGTCAGTCCCACCGTCTCACTTATGACATGCCTGAGATTGATGGACCACATGCCACCACAACATACGTGGTCAAACACACCAGACTACACCTCCGCACCCTTCAGTACTGGCTGGCACTTGTATATGACCACACCAGATATGAATTCCACAGACCAGTAACGCCTCCACCCGCTGTTACCCAATCACTTCTGTGGTGGACCAGCCGCAAGAATCTTCTATCAGGGGTACCTTTCCATCAACAAGAACCCCTCCACCAAATCACAACAGACGCCTCTCTATTAGGCTGGGGAGCTCACATGGGCTCCCTCTCAGTGCAGGGCCAATGGTCTCCACGAGAATCACGTCTACACATAAACCTCTTAGAACGACGTGCCATTTTCAACACATGCAAGTCCCTCCTCTGTGGTGAACACCATGGTGAAGATACTCACGGACAACGTCACGGCCATATATTATGTGAATCGTCAGGGCGGCGCTCGCTCTCGTTCCTTATGCACGGAAGCTATCCGCTTCTGGAACTAGTGCATTCACCACGGAATAACACCTACGGCATCCTACTTACCTGGCACCACAAACGTGATCGTAGACTTCCTAAGCAGGAACTTTGATGTGAAACACGAATAGGAAATGCACGATGGTGTCCTACTCGAGCTCTTCCTACGCTGGGGAACTCCGCAAATGGACCTCTTTGCAACTCCCAGCAATATGAAATGCTACAAGTACTGCACCAGGGCGGGCCTCGGCCATGCATCCCTGGGGGACGCCTTTCTCATTACCTGGCACGGACCCCTCCTCTGTGCCTTCCCCCCATACCGCTGATCCCCAGAGTTCTCCAGAAGCTGAGGGCAGACAAGACAACACTAATCCTCATAGCACCGGATTGCCTCGCCAACATTGGTTCCTCTTCCTCCACCGTCTGTCCGCATGTGCACCGATCTGACTGCCGGTCCTTCCGAACCTCCTGTCCCAGGACCAAGGGCACCTGAAAGACCCCCAGATACTCACCCTGAGCCTAATGGCATGGTTCCTAACTGGTTGACCCCATTCGAATCCCTCTGCTCGGTCCCAGTCGAACACGTCCTTATACATAGTAGATGACAAGCCATGAGAAAAACTTACCCTCATAGGTGGCGCAGATTCTCCTCCTGGTGTACCACAAACCACCATGATCCAGCACGTCCTTCAATCCCCTCCGTACTGGACTATGCTATGCACCTAAAAGACACAGGACTCACATTAGCTTCCATCAGGGTACACTTGGCAGCAATCTCAGCATTTACACCATCACTAAACGGCATTTCTGTCTTCGCCCATCCTACTACTAAGAGATTTCTTAAAGGCCTCACCAACATGGCCCCGCCACATGATCCAGCCCCACCTGTGTGGAACCTGGATGTAGTCCTCGATGCCCTAATGAGGCCACCGTTCGAGCCTCTCGCGACCGCGCCCTTACATCTCCCCACTATGAAAACAATTTTCTTACTTGCCATAACATTGGCACGCAGGGTGGGTGAGCTTTCCGCCATGATGGCTACACCACCATATAAAATTTTCCAAAATGATGGGATAGTGTTAAGAATACACCCAAAATTCATACCCAAAATCATCTCCACTTTCCTGTCAATGAACCAGTAATCCTACCAACTTTTTTCCCAAAGCCCCATGCCTCACCACGAGAAGCAGCCATACACTCCCTGGACACCCGTAGAGCCTTAGCGTTCTACACAGACCCTGTAGACGTACGGACCATTTATTTGTCTCCCTGGCACATAGATTCAAGGGTCAATGCTTATCTTCCCAGAGGATTTCGAATCTTATAACCTCCTGCATAACACAGTCTTACGCAGCAAAACCACTCCACCAAGGCCATGGCGACCTCGACAGCGTTCCATAAAGGAGTATCCCTTAAGGATATTTGCAGGACGGCCACCTGGTTGTCACATGAGACCTTTGCCAAACACTACTCTAGGCATTCACTCAGATGGGGCAGTGGCGACTGCAGTGTTCTCCACAGCGGATAAATAGGGACTCCTCCGGCCCTCCTTCCATTCTGGTGACCACTGCTACGCAGTCACCCATAGTGGAGCACCCGCGGGGACATCCTCGAAGAAGAAAGTGAAGTTACTCACCTTCGGTGCAGTAACTGTTGTTCTTCGAGGTGGTGTCCCCATGGGTGCTCCACTGCCCACTCTCCTCCCCATTTCGGAGTCCTCTCTCTCTCATGTCTTACAGACTCCAAGGCGATCTTGAGGAACTGGTGGGAGGCTGGACTGCACACCAGAGAAAAGAGCGCAAAAGCCATGAGCCCCGCTGCACATGCGCAGTCTGGCCAAACACTGCTTCTCACAACCTTCCATCTGCGGCTCTGGGGCAAGCCCAGCACCCATAGTGGAGCACCCGCGGGGACATCCTCGAAGAAGAACTTATTAATACCAATTGCTTCAGAAGGTAGAGTAAGAAACCACATAACTGATAATTATAAATTAACTTGCTCACAGAAGACTCTTCTTCCTAGTTTCCTCTCTCCCCATCAATTAGCAGTATACTGGTGCCCTGACATGAGGATTTATTTATATATGTATCTACTGAACCATGGCTATTCTTATTATCCATGTAGATGTCTAATACTTTTTTTAATCCTGCCAAGCTGTTGGCCTCAGTGTTACCCAATGACAATGAGTTCCAGAAATTGTTTGTGTATTATGTAAACAGTATTTTCTTTTATCATTAAATGCATTGCTCTTCACACTATCCCCTCCTGGTATTATGCAAAAAGCTAACACAAGTTTGCCCTCCCTTTCTCATTCATTATTTTGGATTCATATACAGGCTCTTTCTTATTCACCTCCTCTCCAAACCGAATAGTCTCAAACTTTCTTCATACAGAATTCTTTCTCTCCATCCAGCTCTTTTAGAGCCTCTGGCCTTCTGGCAGATCTAAATTTATCCTCTAAATTTAGCCTCTCTTTTTACAGACTTTTGATCTTGTCCCTTGTGGTGGGTGGCAGAATCCTCTTTATTTGTCCGTATGAATTTACACTGCTTTTCACAAGCTTCTGTCTGTGGCTCCGGAGCAAGCTCAGCACCCAGAGTGGAGCACCCTCGGGGACACCATCTCGAAGAACGAAAGTTACTGCACCGAAGGTGAGTAACTTTGCTTGTCTAGGTCTATGTCTAAACTACACCCCTCTGTCGGAAGAGGGATGTAAATGAAGTACTTCGAAAGTGCAAATGAAGTTGGGATTTAAATATCCTGCACTTCATTTGCATAATCACGTCATGGTGCTGTTTCTAACAAGCGCCATTTTGAAACTGAAACCGCAGTTTAGACAAGTTTTTTTCAACAACGGGGGGTGCCTTTCCGAAAGATCCTGTACTCCTCATTTTTTGCACTTCATTTTCACTTTTGAAGAGGTTCATTTACATCCCTCTGCTGACAGAGGGGTGTAGTTTGGACGTAGTCTAGGACACTGGATGAAGTGGACCATTTCTCTGATATAGTTTGACTAGAGACTATGTCTTGCAAGCTAACCTGTGTCTTTTAGGAAGTTGAAATGCTGATGTGGTGTTTCAGTGGAGTCTTTGGAGAGTAGTGGGCCTGATTCTCCACTTCTTTGTAACTTCGGATATTGTCTGGGAGAGACTTTCACTCCACAGAGTCCCCTGCCACAAAGCCTGACCTGACGCTCTGTCTACACTTCCAAGTTTAAAGCTTTAACACGTCAGTGTGGTCACAGCACCAGCACCGGATGAGACCGGAAGTGTGTGAGACTAGAGGCTCTCTTAGCACTCTGGGGAAACCATTTCCACGAGGAGCACAGTTCCCAGTGCTGGGAGCCTGTTTACACTGGCCCTTTGCAGTACCATAACTTGCTACGCTTGGAGGGAAGGGTGTTTTTTCACACCCAGATGTGAATGTTACAGTGCAGTAACTTGCCAGTGTAGACAAGCCCTAAGAATAACAACTTGTTGAAAAGATTTATGGTGTCAGAGCTATATTCTCCAAAACAGCCTGTATGCGTCATTTAGCACTCTAAAAACCAGTGGTGATACTTTATAGACGGCCATTGTAGTGAAGGCTGGGCAAGAGTTATCAACATCCTGACCCAGATTTATAATTCTATGATAGGCTAATTTACTATTTTATCTTAACTTTATTTTATAGGCTTATGTTGGGCCCTTTTAGCTTTAGCTGAATGCTTATGAAATGCATCTTAGAGACTGTGTGTATTGATTGCACAGATTGCTAGGTTTATAGGCCCAGTCTGATTCCCACTAAAGATTACAGTAAATAAGTAATAAAATATTAATATTAAGTGAGCACTTTTCACTTTGTATTCTGTGTTGTAGTTGAAATAAAAACATTTGAAAATGTAGAAAAACATCCAAACATGTTTAATAAATTTCAGTTGGTATTCTATTGTTTGACAGAGCAATTAATTGCAATTAATTGTTGAGTTATTTTCATGAGTTGACTTCAATTAATCAGCAGACCCAATAGCTAGTTGCTATTTAATAAATACAAATCTGATTGATATAATGTTAATGTTCTGAGTTAATTCACATAGCAATAGAGTGTGAATGACATATTTAATCTTGTCAAGTGGCATTTTAAATGCTTTTCTAATTCAAGTAACATGCTTTAAAAGTTCTGATCCCGTAGTTCACACTATTATTGTTTGCTCCAGTTGTTGATTTAGTAGCTTTTCTGATGTAGTCTGGGAATGACTTCCTTTGGACTTTCACATTATCTTATTACAATATACACCACAGATTATTTATACTAGGGGTTAGTGACATGAACTCAAATGAATTCATTGGACAAATGCTGTTGTCTGTTATGGAAATTAAGAGTAAAATAGCATACCTTATTTATTTGTGATACATGTTTAGTTCTAAATATTTTTGTTTATATTACTTCCGAATTATTTTGTTATTACACGAGAAAATTAATTGAATTAGAATGTTGACCCCATCCAGCTAAATAAAACATAACTAAATAGGTAAGCAAGCAAGCGAGCAAACTAAAATAGCACTCAGTAAGTGCTCTCCAGTGTTCTAATGAGTAATAGAGTAAAAATATATTTAATATCCTTTCAACTCCTGATGACCTTATTTTTTTTGTTTTTGTTTTCAAAAATAAAATAAAATACAGAAAAAGGAGGAGAAATGGGGCCAGTATCTGAAATGGTTTACTAGACGTGCAGATCTGATTAATATGAAAACCTAAAAAAGGTGGAGGCTCTAAGGAACAACTTTTCAAAAAAGCTAAAGCATACTTGATATTCTAGAGCAGTGATTCTTAACCTTATTGCAGCCTGCACCCCTTTGGCTCTCAAAATATATTTTCACACCCCTTATTAAAATCATTGAAGTAGTCAGTTCTTTAAACCTAAGATATAGCATAAAAATCTGGCATGTCTCATGCCCAGAAAGGGCATCTTGCGCCCCCAGGGGGTGCGTCACCCCAGGTTAAGAACCACTGTTCTAGAGTCATGGTGGAAGAGGTAATATCTTTACTGGACCAGCTTTTGTTGGTGAAAGAGACAAGCTTTTGTACTTATATATAGTGCTTCCTTGGTCAGACTTGTGAAACTCAAAAGTTTGTCTCTTTCACCAACAGAAGTTGGTTCAGTAAAAGATATTATCTCACCCAGCTTTTCTAATGTCCTTGGACCAACATAGCTACAAGATTGCATGAAATAATTTGGTATGCCAAATATTTTTTAGATTAAAATACAAGCAGAAAAAAAACCCTCCCTACCCTCTTGAGCAAGAAAACACTATTAACATAATACAAAGGGGTTTACAAATCTTAAAGAAGAAAAAAAATCCCAAACCATAAAAACTTCTCTCACAGACAATAGAGATGGATCAGCAGAAGAATCACTCTAGGGATCTACGGATACTACTGCTTGTCTGCAGTATTTATGTGGGTGCCTTGCTTCCCACATGGGGATGTGACTGATTCATCTAACCCTGCTCAAAATGTCCCCTTCTGTAATCTTTCATTTTGTGCTGGAATGTGTTCATTTTGGAGCCTATTAAATGATAGCATTTTAATTCTGACACATCATACCGTTAACAGGATTTTTTCATACCACTTGTAGCATCCTGTACCCCTTAAAGCCTCTAAGTCAGAATGTGGATTCTGTACAGTTTAAGTTATGAATATTGCAATTTTAGCAAAATGTCAAATATTCTAAACAGGAAAG